GCGTTGGGATGAGGATGGCCTCAGTGGCCAAATCAGACCTACAGGCTTCCAGGTTTCCCACCCATGAGCTTCAGCAACAGAGAGCTATTGATGTGAAACAGTTCTGCTGAATTGCTCCTGTTTGCTCTAGCTACATAGAAACCTAAGATCTACTTTGTGATTCTTGAAGCACTAAGAGTAAAATGGACATTGTGCTGCCATTGGCTAGCTATTAGACATGGGTTGCTGCCTTTGTCACTTTGCCATGGAACACAGGTATAGTGACATAATCGTCATTGTGACACTAATGAGATCCACCTTTAAAAAATAAATATTATAAGTTAATGAACAGGCATGAATAATACAGCATGCTGTATTCTGTGGAAATCCCAAAGCATCTGGGAGAAAGTGCACCTGAAGATACTCTCTTAAGGAGAATAAGAAAAGAGGGAAGAACAAGAAGTGTGGAAAATGTGGAATGTGGAAGAAGGCAGATATAGCAGGCATAGAGTGGTTAGGTTTGGGGTCCCTGTATTCTCTTGAAGCATTCATGTTCCTCTCTAGGGCTGAGTTCTGCACGCTATGCACTGCGCAGATTGGATGCCTCATCCCACCCCACAGTGTCACCATCAGTTATTCCCCTGGTTGGAATAGTTTTGCACTTTTAAGGAAGTTTCACTACTTTTGGAGAAATGAATAGATAAACGCTTTAATTCTTTATTCAGCACTTTTAAAATGAAAAAACGGCCAGAAGCATAGGAGTTGGAAAAAGTGACGGCTGAGCTTGTTGGCTGGTATGCACATCTGTTATTTCAGTTGTGAAGGAACACTTCATGGCTAAGAGGTGTCCTGTTATATTTTTTCTAATCCAACTATCTTTATTGGCAGTTTCCTGCTGTGAGTGTCCTTCTATTTCTCTCTTCTTAGGCAATCACTCGTGGCTGAGTAAGATTGTCTTCCATGAGCACGGTCTTAACGGTGTGTCCGTAAGTGACTTTGGAGGCCAATTCTGGATCCACACATCCTTCCACAGTTAGATTCTTTTTCATCTTTGGAAGTATAGTCAGCATAGCCAGGACTTCCTTACTTAACTGATGATTTCCAAACTGTTTTGAAGGGTGTTAAATTGTAGTTGTTACCCTATATAAATACCATTGTTCCAATTTAGCTTACAGAGGGAATCTTACAGATCAGAATAAGCTGCTCCTCCATGCTTATTACTTCTGAGTTGTCCCGATCACCTTGTGCTTCCTGTGGCTCAGCCCAAATGAGTTACTACAGTGAGCCACAGTATTCTTTTCATTGGCTTGTATCCTGGTGACAATAAGGAGGTATATGGATTCTGGATAGTCTTTCTTTCAGTTTTATGTAGACTTTGAATTACTCCTTGATGCTGTAAGCAAATGTGACCATGTCTGCCAATTAGGCATTGCTTCAAGTGACTATGTAAACAAGACAAGAGTAGTGGTCTTTTCAAAAGCTAAATTAATTGCCTAAGAAGTTCAGGACAAGACACGCTCACTGTATTCCTTGACCTTAAATTGCTGGAGTGAACAACAGAGAACAAAGTGATTTATTAATGCTTCATAGATAAATAGGTACCGCTCTGGCGGGAAGGTAAACGACGTTTCCGTGCGCTGCTCTGGTTCGCCAGAAGCGGCTTAGTCATGCTGGCCACATGACCCGGAAGCTGTACGCCAGCTCCCTCAGCCAGTAAACTGAGATGAGTGCCTTTTATAGTGCATTAGGAATTGATCACTATTGGAAATGCAGTGCTGACCTAAATTTACTATGTTTTAAGCAACTCATTGCGATGGACAGAAAGGGGTTTTGTTACAATTGCACTACAGTGTAGAATGGCTACCAATGAGGAGTTTTGTTTTGTTTTTAAATCCTGACATTTTCCTTGGTGTTACTGCTTTCAGTGTCACAGTGAATGCCTTGGGTCAGATTTTCAGATACTTAGCAGCTGGATCCAACTTACACAAATGAAACCTTTGTAGAATTCCTTAAAATATATTCCCTCAGAAATGACTTGCAAATTTACTAAGAGTCAGTTCACACTTTGCACAGCAGCCTGGGTGTGCTGGTGTTCACCACCCATGCTGGTTGTGGGAAACAAAATGCGAAGGAGGTCTGATGCTCCCAGGTGCTCAAGAGGGTGTGCTTTGTAATGGCTCCCTGACACATGTCACAGGGCCTTTCTGCAATTCCTGTACTGTTGAGCCTATAGCATATTGAGGAAAGGGTGTCTGAAATTAGAAAACGGTGCCATTCACTTGTAGATTTCTGTTTCTAGTTTAGCCACTGGGTGTAAGAACATTTACCATTGCCTAGTGTCATTTGGCACAATTCTGCACTGTAGGATTTAACCCCCACTTAACAGCTGACATGCAGTGGACAAATCATGCTTAGTTTGGTCAAGTGCGCCTGCTCACTCTTCAGAACAGGCACACACAGCCAAAGAACACAGCAGAAAAATGCCTAGTCTGCTTGCTTTCGCTGCGTGTGCATTTCCCTTGGAAAGAGGTGGTTGCAGCTGAATCACACAGACCCAGTATTTTTCTGGATCACCGCACAAAGAAGTCATGCCTCCCAAGAGGAGGGGGGAAAGACCCCTTAAAGAAGGCTGTTCCTTGGGAAAGGGCTTCTTTATCCCTTTCCCTGAGAGGTGCATGCTGAGCAGGGGCTAAACTGCCAAACTGCTTTCCAAAGCACCTCCCCTGCCCTGCATTTTAACAGCTCTCCAGCAAGGGATTTTAACAGGTGAGTGTGGCTGCCCGCTCTCTCAATCATGTTATTATCACAAAATTGACAGGTGGGTGATCCCATCCGCCTGTCACATTTGACCCACAAGACTGATCCTGATAAGGAACTGGCCCATGGAGTCAAAAAAAGTTCCCTCTCCTGTCCTAGACATTTTAAGTTTGAATACTCAAAATGCTTTAGCCGTTCTTCTTAGGGAAGGTGTCCCTATCTTGCCATTATTTTATGTGCCCTTTCCAATACCTTTTCTAACTCTGTATCATCATTTGTGAGGTGGGGAAACCAGAAATGGAGGCAGTGGCCACCACAAGACTTCTCATCATAAAGGAGGCCCATTGGCCCTGGTCAGAGTTGAGCTCTCCCAACAGTGTATCAGACTTTGGCATCATTTCTTTGTGCTTATAATTCCTTACTAATGAATGCTGATAAGGGGCCTTAAGGGAAGAGCTGAAAGAGTGGTAACAGAGATACACTGAGGTTTCTGGAAAATTTATGGATATAGGAATAATACCAGAAGTAAAAATTGGACTGTTGTGGGATGGTTGCTTTGTTTTGAAATTGACAACACCTCCCTCCCCAATCATCTTTTCAGTGAAATATGACATGTTTCCTAAGAGCAGGCATTTACAGTGAACAAAACCAGAGAGCGAGCAAAACTTTTCTCATGAGAAAAGCATAGACTATTTTCTTGCTGTGATCTTATTTATGTCCAAACACCTCAAGGACAAGTGATTTTTTTAAAAAAACGTGTTGGTCTGTTAGAGGGAGATATGACCTTAAGGGTTTAGCTAAAGTTAAGGAGGGGTTTCCACTTGCATTTTTGAGGGTAAGGTGGAGCCTCTGAAAGGAAACTGCCCTATACTGAGTCAGGCCATTGGTCTATCAGCTCAGTATTGTCTATGCTGATTGGCAGCAGGCCTCCAGGGTTTCAAACAGGAATCTCCTTGAAGATTGAATGTGGAGCCTTCTGAATGCAAAGCAGTTGTACTGCCACTGAGCCATGACCCTTCCCATTCAAGTTTCTAACATCATCAACTTCCAAATAAAATTTGAATAACATCACCATCTTTTCTCTTGATATATCCATGTATATGGCATCAAAAGGAAGGCAAGCGCATCATTTCTCTTACTTGACCGAAGCAAAAGAAAATATGTTGGCTTCTTCGGCAAAGTTGCCTGCAACATTGATCTTGCTGTGCCACAATAGCTTCCTAACAAATGGTGAATATATTTAGAACTAGTGTCTATTACACTCTCCATCTGGATACTGTCTTCTTTCATACTTTGAAACTTCTGTTTTGGACTACATTCGGTTGCAGTGCTTTCCTTGTGGCCTTAAGTAGCATCTCTGCTACATTCATGAATTGGCTGGTATTAATCTGCTTCCTTGGGACTTTGGCACTTCCTTTGTATCCAAGTATTTGCCTCCTTATCTGATACTCAGGCAACATCCATCACTTCCATTTTCTCATAAACTGATCCTTGTAGCTATGATTCTTTTTATCCTCTGCTCTTTGGAACTACTTATCCTTATGCATTTCTATTCAGAAGGTTGGTTAGTGTTATCAGACCAGCTTATTCAAGAGAGTGCATTCCTCTCTAACATATTCTGATATTTCAATGACTTTCCAGTAATCCAAGCTGGGTTTCTAGGCTACAACTTCTCAAGCAAAGGGATTCAAACACATTCTGTTAATGTGTTCCAGCCCCAGCATAGCTACAGTATACTCTTGCGGACAAGTATTCTGCGTGCATAACAGAAAACAAGTGTTGCTTCAAAGATCTTATAGTGTAGAAGAAGGAAAACACATGCACAGAGTGGTAGCCAGCTGAGTTTTACCCTGAGTGGACCCATTGAAATGAATGGACGTAACTTAGTCATGTTCGTTTCATTGAGTCTCCTCTGAGTAAAACTTTATTGACTTACACTCATAGTGTACTGACACACGACTAATTTGTCACATGAGTCTAAATACCTATAAACTGAGTTTTTCCACTGCACTGCACTGAACAGCACTACAAAACCTAGTTGTGGTGACCAACATGACAGTTTCACAGTGGTTGACACTCAGTGCTTTTTTTCTAAAAAAATATATTTAGGGGTACTCTCATTTTCCTACTCATATTGAAATGCTGCCCCCCTCAATGAGGCCAAACTTAGATTCACAAAATGTTTAGGGGTATGTGTACCCCTGTGTTCCCCCAGAAAAAAAGCACTGTTGACACTTAACATGAGTTATCTTTCACCACAGAACTTCAAGGATACATGCAATAACCTCCCCTTTTTTTTACACAATTCATCCTTTCCTTTAATGCATCAGTAGATGGGCTTTAATGAATAGCAAATTGTGTAAAAAAAAGGGGGGTTATTGCATGTATCCTTGAAGTTCTGTGGTGAAAGATAACTCATGTTAAGTGTCAACAGTGATTACCTGGCCCCTGGTTGTTTGCAAATCAGCAGACAAAATTGTCCAAGGGCCAGCAGTTTGATTCCCTCTACCCCCTCCCCCCTGCCCCGCCACTAACAGGACATTTATTTCATTCCCAACATGGGTGCCATGGTAAAAACAAATGAAAGTGCTGAATACATCAATCCCAGGTTCTCCTGCTTTCAGCTCCCAGGAATACTTTCACAAAGATTTCTCGTAGACCCCAGTGATATTCCATCTAAAAATTCTGATTAATATAGTAGCGACAAAGGTCAGCCTTCTTTGTATTTTAAAGAAGGGCAACCCAGATGATTGAGAGTGTTTGAAAATGCAAAGGGGAATTAGACAAGTATAGACCCTGTATTAAGATTAAAATACATAATATTAAAAGTATAAATCTCCTTTAAGAATTTTGCCAAGTGCTTTGCATTTTTACATAAATAGTACTGATGTTCTTGGTTCCTGGTTGTCTTCTATATTCCTCTGTGAAAACAGCTCAGTATCCATTCTCCTTCTGCCTTTCTTCTGCCTGCTTTTTCTGCACTTCCTTTTGCCTCTGATCTTCCTGAATAAATTGATCAGCTCATAGTTCAAAAACACATGCACGTTCTTTTACCCTTCTCGGCAGCACTTGTAGCTCTTTTTTTGCGCTTTATTTCACACTTTTTGTTTACTGGTTCCATTTAGCGTGTGAAGGCATGGGGTCCAAAGCCACGTGAGAATCCAACTTAACCACAGAGGGGCATCTAAGGGTGAAACTTGCATTCCTCTTCTTTCTCTTCTAGGATCATGTTCGTACATGAGCTTTAAATCTCTCTCATGCTATTTCACAAGACTCTTGAGCTTCTTGTGCTAATGTCTGATTACTGGTAAGGCAGAAGACTATGGAAGAAGAGAGACATTTGTAATGGGAATTAGTATTCTGGCCAATGTAGGTCTATTTTCTACCTTGTGACCCAAAGTTTCTGTATAGATGTCTATCACCACCATAAAGATATGATGCGGGGTGGAGATGATGGTGATTTATAATACAGCTACATTCTGAGAGTTCAGAAACCTAGATAATTTCCTTTGAGTATAACTTTACAGATTAGATTGTAATTCTAGAAGCTGAAATCTATTTGGAGATGGCACTGACGTCACAAAAATGTAGCCAAGCATAATCAATACCTCTCCACCTATTTGGGAGAGAGAGAAATTATGAAGAATCTAGCAGCATGGTCTTCTCCCTAGACATGTACAGGTGCTAGGGGAATTGCTAGCAGGAAATGGGCTTCTGTCAGGCAGCTGAGTTAGCGTGTTGTCAAGTGATGTAAACTGTTACCTTGGTAATGTAGGCTGAGCAGAGATTAGTGACGTCCGTAGATGAGGGCTTGGGGACCTTTCTCTCTCTAGTTATTGTTATTGTTGAGTTCCCAGCTCCCATCATCCCCAGGCAGCATGGCTCCTCGTTATTACTATCATGTATTCTTATTTAAATGTATATGGCCACTCATCAGTTAAATTCTCCAGGCAGCTTGCAAAATAAAAACAAATGGTCATGGGTCATGGGAATTGTAGTCCCAACATCATCTGGAGGGTCACAAATTTGTAGGGCAAATTAGGAGAATGCAGGAGATGTATGTAAGGCAACTGTGAAAGCAATATCCCCCCCCCAAAAAAAACCCCTCTGGAATAATTTGAATAGTAAATATTCCTGATAAAATATTTAATATGAAGTCCATCCAGTTCAGTATGTCAGATGTTGTACTTGTTTGGAATAATAATTTTTGAAAGATCAAGGAAATGTCATTTTATCTCACAAACTACTCCAGCACGACCATTTCATGCACAGCAGAAGTACAACCACAACTTTACCATTGTTGTTACCATTTTCATACTTATTTCTGAAGTTATGCCATTCTTCCAGTGGCTGTCTCTAGCAGCTGCATGGAACAGGACCTTTTCAGAAAAATGCAAAGTTAGGCTGAGTAGTACATATGCAGTTATCTCCAGAAAGTAGTGAGGGGGTTTTTGCTGGGGGTTTTTTTCCTTAAGCATACAACAACCTCTGTCTGCCTTCTTTTGCTGTTTCGTTATGCAGCAAGACTCTGCCATATTCATTCCTTACAGACACTTTGCAGAGAATCAGTGCAGAGGGATGTGTGTCTTTAAACTTGTTTCCGCTATAAATTAGTAATTAACACACACATCTATTGTGTGTGTGTGTGTGTGTGTGTGTGTGTGTGTAATTCTAGCTGGAAATTTTGACAAAGTGTACACAAGAAGCTGTTGCATAATATGCAAGACTAAATTTGCTATTTTAAAAAAGTTAGAGGAGGCGGAATTTACAAAATAACAACACAATCACACACAGAAGCCTGTTTACATGTGAGCATGAGGACCAAAGCATATAACAAAGTGTCGTACACATATCATTTTGCGTATGTGCAAGATTTCAGGGTTTGGATCGTTATGTCTTTAAATCTGAGGGAGATAAAATTTTTGATTCCCTTCAAAATTCTGGAAATCTTATCTCTCCATTATTCCTTTTGCTCCAGCATCATGGGAGAAACAGTGGGGCAGTTGTGTCTCAGTTGTTCTTAATCATGGCACCTCTGGAGGATGCTCTGCTTTCTACTTTTTCCCTGTACTTTTTTATATCAGTCCTATATAGCCTATATAGTCACAGACCATGTCTTAATTTCTGTGACTGCAGCACCGAGTTAAGTGAACGGAAGACCACTGAAATCAATGGTCTTGTGTGTGCTTAACTAGGTTTGTGAAGGATTATGGCCAGTGTAAGCCTTGTTGTTGTAGATGGAATACAGGAGAGCGAATGGATGTGTGGCTTTTTCACAAACCAGGGGGAGATCTGCACATAAATGCCTGCTAAAAACTGAAATTTCCAAGTCTTTGCTATTGAAAACTAACGTTGATACTTTGCTAGCAAGTCCCTAAGGAAAGGGACTGTTTTCTGTGAAAGCGAAAAGTGTGAAAGGCTGTCTAATGAGAAGTGAAGAGTATCTAAGTTACACTTTCCTTGCAACTTGGTCCTTCTGGTAGTGCGGTTGGTGTTGTTCTGCTCAAGTTGCCAGCTGGATAGGGCAAGTGGAGAGAGAATTGCCTACTAGTCTGGTCACTTCAGTGCAATGGGTAGCCATTTTTGTATCTACTGATATTTAAAATAATCAATATATGCAAATAAACAATGGTTACACACACACACACACACACACACACAGGATGACTCTATTTGAGCCAGAATGGACTTGATCTTAAGTGCCATGGCTGCCACTTCAACATCACAGTTTGGGTTGCTTAAGCTGCAATCCTACAACCACTTTCTTAGGAATGAGCACCATTGAACTTAGTGGACTTTACTCATGAGTAGACATGTATCGGATTGTGCTGCTATGCATGACTAGCACACATACAGTGATCCTTGGTATGTCTGTTCACACATCACACGAAGATTGCTAGAAGCAAGATTTTAACAAGGATTTCACTGTGGATTAATTGTAACCAAACCCACCAAGATACTTCACCAGGATGTGGTGTAAATGGTGTTAACTTTTCCAGGACGTACCCTGGAAGAAAAATTGGACTGAGTTGAAATGGTCCCTTGTTCAGATTAATCCCAAGCACTGGTAAAACATTTTCATTTCTCTGTTTTCTGCAGGGTACTGACATACTTATTTATTTAAATTATCAGTCCCAGAAAACTTGTCCAATTGCATCCAGTGTTCTCTTAGGCAATATCTAGTTCTTCGTTTTGTTCACTAAAACAAAATAGAAGAAGTTTCCCGATTTGTCAGTCTTCCAGCATCTACATTCCCCATGGACTCATCAGTGGTTTCTAGTAACTAGCAACTGTTGTTATACGCTCTTGTCACAATTCAGCACAGAGTTAAGCACCCATAAACCCATTGGAATCAGTGGGCTTAAATGCACTTAACACTGTGTCGGATTTAGCCTTATGCATCTTAGGTAGTTTCCTAGAATTCATCTTATTTTCAAGAGAGGCAGTAACTCTCTTTTGGATGCCACATGAGATATATGGTGGCTAAGATGCATCTTAGTTATTATTTTAAATAAGTTTCATAGGCTCCTAGGGCCAGATCTCACACCACAATAAGCAACATCAGGCAGAACAATGCAGACCCCTATTGCCTGGGCAGTGTGTTGGATTGTCCCTCCACTGAGGTCTGCTGCCACCACTAGGGTGACTGAAGCATTACAGCTCTGCTGTGTATCTTCCATTTCTACCATCCAAATGTGTGGGAATGTTGCAAGCAGAATTCCCCCTGGCAGCAGCCAGAAAGAAATGCACCCAAATCAAGCATTTGAGAAGCGGGGAGAGGCTGAGTTGACCCATGGTTCACTGCCTGCCGAACCAGTCCCACTGCTGTTGCACAGTGGCACTGGGCTCAATCCAGTCCTGATCAAGGCATAAGCTCCAGCCGGGCACCGCAATTGTGCTGGTCCTCACTCTCACCTACCCTGGCTGCCATGTGTGGCAGGGCTGCAGACGTGCCAGTGGCCTCACCACTCGACAAAGGCCAGCAGTTGGCTGCCAAAGTTTGGATTGGTCCCTAAATTCAGTGATAATGTGGGAAGAGTGCACAGGGAGGGGATTGACAATCCAGGGCCCTTGACTCACAGGGGCATATGGAGCTGCTGTGGAAATGTTAAACATGAATTGTCTGTTGCATATGATTACTGGATTTAGGCATTACTGCTACGGTATGGAATCCTGCCTTAGGGAAACAGCAGCAGACATAGTTCAGGGGTATATGAACACTTTGTAGATTGGGATGCTACCTGTGCACATTTGACACAGGTTGATGGCAGTGTTCACATGCTTTTTGGGGGTGGGGATGCTCCTTTGCTGCTAAAATTCATGCTAGCTAAAGTACTTAATGTAAGTAGCATAATTGGTGTGCAACGGATGATAGAAATAGACATAAAAAGTT